TAAATTATGAACCTTGGGTGATAATGACTTTTCAGCATAGGTTCATAGGTTTCAACAACTGTAGCTCTCCGGTGTGGGATGTTGATGACTGTAGGTGTAGGGGGACAGGGAGCATATGGGAAACCTCTGTATCCTCAGTACAAGTTTACTATGAACCTAAATCTAAAACTACCCTTAACAATACAGTCTAGTTCAAAAAAAAAAAAAAAAAAATAGACATGATTTAACCTAAACTAAGGAAACTGATTCACAGAGAGACTGGTTTCCTCGGGGACATGAACTCAGATGGTGGTTAGGGTTCTTGGCTTCTTTGGCCCTTACCCTCAGTACTGGAGAAAAGAGACAGAGGTAAACCAGCATGGGACATTCACTTTGAAATCCATCATCACAAGGCCCGCTACCCCAGAGCCATCCTTTTGCCAAGCAGCTTGCCCATAGTTCACCTACTCTCAAGATAAGGACAAAAGTGAATCTTCAAATAAGTGAGAAGATTCGTTTGGGTTTTTAGCTTCAGAACCTTATGACCTGTGAAGAGAGGCAAATTGGGGTGATTTGCTTCCACAGGTGGAATTCCATGTTGTCTGGGGTTCAGCAGAGAATATCTGCAAACAGGAGGATTTCCCTCTGAAACTGAGGGAAAGAACTTCACTGGGTGCTTAGCGAGTGATCCTAATGCCCAGAAAACAGGTTAAGTGTTCATCAAATGAGACTCAGGGGAGGGTAGGACTTATACTTTAAAACTGCTAGACGAAAACAAAATTTAACATGTTAGAAGCATGCTGTTTTATTAGAAGCATAACCTGAGGAAGAAGTCAATGCTAAAATAAGCAGTTGGATGAGGTCAGCGACGTTTCACGAGGAAATAGCCTCAGGGTCTTGTGAAACTCTCCGGAGGAAGCTAGTGGAAACCATAACAAAGGAAGTGGTCACTTGCTCTGAGTTCAGCCCTGACGATGGTATTTAAGGGAGGGCCCCTGAGACAACGGGCATCAGACCTCCCTCCCTTCCCAAGTCTCCCTCCTCACCTCTCCTGAGTCCAAGTCCTCTCTACTGACACCATGGGCTGCTGTGGTTGTGGAAGTTGTGGTGGCTGCGGTGGGGGCCGCGGCGGGGGCTGTGGTGGTGGCTGCGGCGGGGGCTGCGGCGGGGGCTGCGGCGGGGGCTGCGGCGGGGGCTGCGGCGGGGGCTGCGGCAGCTGCAACAGCTGCAGATGCTACCGGGTGGGCTGCTGCACCAGCTGCTGCCCCTGCTGCTACGGCTGCTGCGGGGGCTGCTGCAGCGTCCCCGTGGTCTGCTGCCACCGCCGCACCTGCAGCTGCAATTCCTGTGGCTGCGGGGGTGGGAAGGGCTGTTGCCAGCAGAAGTGCCGCTGCCAGAAGCAATGCTGCCACTGAGTGGCTGGCTGGTAGGCGCTGCTTCCCAGCGTAAGGGATGTTGGGCGCACAGCTCACCGCGTTTGGGAAGACTTCTCCTTGGACTCCCCTCTGATGGTGAAGAATCTGCCTGCAAGGCAACAGACCCAGGTTCAATCTCTGGGTCAGGAAGATCCCCTGCAGAAAGGAATGGCAACCCACCCCTGTATTCTTGTCTGGAGAATTCAATGGACAGAGGAGCCTGGTAGGCTACAGTCCATGGGGTAGGGTCACAAAGAGTCGGACATGATGAGTGACTAACACTTTGACTTTTCTTTTTCCCTCCATCCCTCCCTCCCACTGCCTCCTGTCCCAGGTACCTGGTTGCTTTGTAACTGCTGGTTCTGCCCCTTTACTCTGAGGTTTCAGGGCTGGTTCTTTCCCTTTAGTGTGGTATCATGATGACATTAATTTCTTCTCCCTGTATCTTCAGAACTCAGCATACGGAGGTATCTATTTTCTCTCACCTTTGTATTCTTGTCTCCACTTGGGAAAAAAGAAAAAGATGAAAGATGAGCATTTATTATCAACATTAGCGCTTGGGAACACAGCCACTCATGTAAAAAATCTATTTATATTATAAATATAACAAAATAAAATAAAGATAGGTAATAATTCATTTCTTAGAAAACATTACATTCGATGAACTTTTTATTCTTTTCTATTGTCCATTTACTAACTTTTCCCCTGTTTCTGTATTGTTTAAAAAAAAAAAAAAAAGGAAGTCTTTCTTGATTAAAAGTGATCTTTCTTTATTCTAATGTGTCTCTCTGTTCTATGAGATGGATACCTGCCCATGGGTGATCAAAGAGCACAAAAGACAAAAGGTGATACTCAAAGGTTGGGATAAGTTTCAGTTAATGGATGATTAGTCCTCTACTATCCTATATCTGCTTTGATAATAAAGATAGAAATTTGGGGGAAGTCCCCAACTGTTGGTTGTCAATATTATTGAGGGAAGTTCCTAGGCTCTCCTACAGATGCTGCTGTGACATCTGTGTCTGCAATTGAGTTTTGGCTTTAAGAGTTGACTGCACCAGTCTTCAAAGGTCACAGCTTCACTCCCTCGCTCCATGTGTTTCTTACTCACTCATTCATTCAGCAAGCACGGGCTGTATTAGGCTAGATATGCAGCCAAGTACTAGAGGTCTGAGGCTAAACAATTCTTTGCCCTCAAGGAGTAGACATCTCAGAGGAAAACAGAGAGTCAATTACAATATAGCTTTCTATTTCAGTTTTCTTTGTCTGGTCACTTTTCTCCAGGATGGATCCTACATCAGCAATTCAAATAGATTTGGGGGGTACATAACTGCAGCCACTGTGCTGAGTACCAATGTAAGAGACACTCAATTCATTTCCTGGATAAGCCAACCAAGGAAGTAGTTGATTGTACTTTTCACAAGGCGTTTCACCCAGCCTCCCAGCTGACTGGTTCCTCGTCCCTAATAACAACCCCCCTCCTTTTTCTTTTCTCCTTCCTCTTCAACCTTCTCTGCAGCTCCATTCCCAACATTGGTACCCAAGGCTCAAACCTCCATCCTCTTCTCCATTGTTTTACACCTTCCTCTGGTCTCTACTCTTTTTTCTTTCCCATAGTACTCAACACTTTCTAACAGACCATATAACCCATACGTTTATCAGGCTTATCCTTTGTCATTTCCTCGGCCTCACCCACACCCACTTAGAAGGTACAAAGCAAAGATTCTCACTCTTTTGTTCACTGACCTATTTCTAGCACCTAGAATAGCCCCTGGTACATAGTATGTACTCAATAAATAGCTTTGTAATGAAGAGATGATTTTTCAAAAAGGGTTTAGTCATGGAAAATGTCAAACATACACAAACGTGGAGAAGAGTACAAGAAACGCCTAACCACCATCACCCAAGAAAACAACTGTTAACATATGGCTCATCCCTTGTCATCTATGCCCTCCTCCACACCCCTCCCATCACCAGGTCATCCAAACCGGAACCCCCATGTCATCTCCTCAGCAAATATGTTCACATTTCTGGGAACAAACGGATTCCTCATCATCTCTCTCTGACTTAGACTATGGCTAACAGCTATCAGAGGAATGCGGCAATAAACTTCTCAGGATCCAAAGCGAAGTGGTCTCTCGGCAAATCATGTAGAGGAAAACATGACACCCTCACCTCTAAGAAAACTTCAGTTTTCCCTGGGAGGGCCCTGCAATTTATTCTTTGCCACTTCCTAGGAGCATCTTGCTAACTTACAGGCAGACTTCTTAAAAAAATCACAGGAGGATGAGAATAGAAAACCCAAACCTATATTACAGTGACCCAAGACACCTGGAGAGAGCTTTAATCAATTTTGTTTTCACTACCAGCCTTCAGAACCAAGCAGTGTTCATCTTTGGGGAGAGTTTTCTGTTTCTAGCAGCAGATACAGAAAATAAGTTTTTAAAAATCCATTTTAACAAGTGAGAATTTCATAATGCTTTTTAAAACAAATCTGGGCTTCCCTGATAGCTTAGTTGGTAAAGAATCCACTTGCAATGCAGGTGACCCCAGTTCAATCCCTGGGTCAGGAAGATCCACTGGAGAAGGGATAGGCTACCCACTCCAGTATTCTTGGGCTTCCCTGTGGCTCAACTGGTAAAGAATCCACCTGCAATGCGGGAGACCTGAGTTTGATCCCTGGGTTGGGAAGATCCACTGGAGAAAGGAAAGGCTACCTACTCTAGTACTCTGGCCTGGAGAATTCCATGGACTGTATAGTCCATGGGGTTGCAAAGAGTCGGATATGACTGAGCAACTTTCACACTATACACTACTCACACTATGCTTCATAAACAGTATTTAATAAATGACCTATTTGTTTTACAAAATTCTCAAAGCACCAGAAAGCCACTCCACCTACCACCTTTAAAAACAAAATCAAGATTCAAGAGACAGCAGACATACGTATACTTATGGCTACTGTATGGCAGTTCAGTTCAGTTCAGTTCAGTTCAGTCGCTCAGTCCTGTCTGACTCTTTGTGACCCCATGGACTGTGGGCACGCCAGGCCTCCCTGTCCATCACCAACTCCCGGAGTTTGCTCAAATCCATATCCATTGAGTGGGTAATGCTACCTAACCATCTCATCCTCTGCCGCCCTCTTCTCCTTGGCCTTCAATCTTTCCTAGCATGAGGGTCTTTTCCAATGAGTTGGCTCTTCACATTAGGTGGCCCAAGTATTGGAGCGTCAGGTCCATCAGTCTTCCCATTGACTATTCAGGGTTGATTTCCTTCCAGATTGACTAGCTTGATCTCCTTGCAGATTTACATGAAATGTCATATTGATAAGCAGATGATTGGCACTGCTCCCAGCATCTCTTGTGCTGTCACACTGGGTATCAACCGGGTATGGATACACTACTTCCAGTTGGTCTTTCTGCATAATAGAGGTGTTTGCCCACAAACCGCGGATTCCCGCCTCCAGTTTAAACGTTCTGGAAGCTTGTGAAGAGCATTTGCAAAACGTTGGGGCCGGGCTTCCGACTCCCAGGACCGGCTCTGCCTCCGCCCCGCCCATGGCCCCGCCCCAGCCCGGTCCCGGTCCCGCCCACGGCGCCGTGCTACCTTTAGAGGCTGGTTCACTGGCCCGGACTGGCGAGGGTGCTGGTCCCCCGAGCTGGAAAACCCAGGCTGTGAGCGAGTTGGTGAGCAGAAATCCCCTCCTGTAGGTAAGGATGTCTCTGGGAGGTAAATTAATTGATGAAACAGACACCTTCATCCTTCGGCCGCCTTGTCTCCCCTCCCCCACCGTTGGGAGCGTGAGGAGGCGGGCACCTGCGCTGCCGCGGGCAGGTTCAGACTGGCCTGGGTTACCCGCCACCCCACCTCCCCAGCCCTTGGCGGACTGCCAGCTCCTTCCTGCTGCGGCTCCCCTGGGATCCACAGTCCTGCCAAACACAGTGCTGAGATGCGCGCCAAGTAAGTTTGGCTAGAATTGTTACTCTCAACCATCTGGAAAAAACAGATTACATAAAACCAGAATTCTGATACAGGGCCAGCATTCCCCATGGTTACATCCATGGTCACAGATTTTTAACTGTAAAGAAATCTTAAAGCACAATTCTGAATCCTCATCCAAGAATGTCGAAGAGGTCATAGTGAGGGGAAAAACGGACTCTTTGAAGTTAGGAAATCTGGGACCTTGTTGAGACGACTCTGATTGAAGTTAACAAATAGACTCTGATCGAAGTTAACAAATAACGCAACGCCTACCTTACAATGATACTTCTGGAAAGGATACCAAATTCATCAAATAACGTGTATAACAATTACTCGTCAAGACCTTGTTGCCGCGGTAAATAGGCAAAACGTTTGAGCTTGTGGAGTGCTTAAAATTTTTCAAGGGTAATGTAAATAATATTTTATAAAAATACACAGAAGAGTTTTCCGTCTGCAGAAATCAGAGTCTCCTTAGGTAGAAGGTGTGTTTCATTAAGATACAGATTTTAAAGACCGATACAGATACAGACATACTTCCCTCTGTTGAGTTTTTTATACAAACTGAAGGTTTGAGGCAACCTCACCTCTTCGACCAAATCTGTCCGCACAATAGTTAAAACAGCATTTGTTTCCTTCTTTGTCACCATTTGGTAATTTTTGCAGTATTTCTAACTTTTAAATTATTATTGTATTTGTCATGGTGATCTGTGGGTTTTGCTGTTACTCCCACCATTTGCTGAAGGTTCACATGATGGTTAACATTTTTTCACACTAAAGTACCTTTAAATCAAGGTATGAACATGCATTTTTTTAGACATAATGCTATTGCATGCTTAATAGACTACAATATAGTGTAAACATAAACTTACGTGTCCTGGGAAAGCAAAAAGCTCCAGTGACTTCCTTATTGCAATATTTGCTTTATTGGGGTAGTCTATAACCGAAGCCATGGTAGCTGGGAAGTCTGCTGGTATGTTTTTCTTCAGACTATCTTAGTGGTAGCTGAAATGGACAAAAATACTAGTTTCTTTTTTTTTTTCATTTATTTTTATTAGTTGGAGGCTAGTTTCTTTACAACATTGCAGTGGTTTTTGTCATACATTGACATGAATCAGCCATGGATTTACATGTATTACCCATCCCGATCCCCCCTCCCACCTCCCTCTCCACCCGATCCCTCTGGGTCTTCCTAGTGCACCAGGCCTGAGCACTTGTCTCATGCACCCAAACTGGGCTGGTGATCTGTTTCACCATAGATAATATACATGTTTCGATGCTGTTCTCTCGAAACATCCCACCCTCGCCTTCTCCCACAGAGTCCAAAAGTCTGTTCTGTACATCTGTGTCTCTTTTTCTGTTTTGCATATAGGGTTATCATTACCATCTTTCTAAATTCCATATATA